AACGCCTGGCTATTTTTTGGTTGCAGCCATCATTGTTGTTTGGTGGGCCCGGGCTGGGTTCAAACCCGCCACCTTAGGTATACGTGGCTGGCGCCTTAGCCACCTGAGCCACAGGCACTGAGCCAACATAAAAGATTCTTAGGGATAATTTCACATCCTCAGTAAATTTGTGATCTACTTCAAACACAGAGGAATCCACTGTTCCAAGACAAAAGGACCAGAGTGAGCCATATGGCTGAGAACTGAAGGGCTACACTTAGGTCCCAGGGTGCAAAGGATCATTTATTAACTGCTCTTTCTAAAGTTCAAATTACACTATTTGCACTGAAAAGTTTATATAACATTAAAAGCCACTCAATAGGGAATAGAGTTATACCACCTATAACTGCCAGTTGTACCACTGGAGAAATGCAATTACTTACGCCTTTTTAATATCCTCGGCTGAAGCATGTCTCTGCACGCCTAGAACTTCATAGTAATCAACCATGTTTTAAATAATTGTTGGAACAGGTCCTGCAATTAAAAATAGGTGGTCAGTGACAGACTGCAGGGTCGGGTGGGTCACGGGGATGGGGAAGGGAGGGAGGTGTCACCTAGCACCTGCTGACCCAGAGATAACTTTTGTTGGCAGACTATTGGGTCAGGGCTTCCTCTGGGAACTCCTTCCAAAACTCATGCCCTAGTACCCTTCTAGATACAGAGAAGAAAAAAAAAAAATCTCCAAAATAACCTAACAGCCCAAACTAAATAAAAGGAAATGATTCTTAGGCTCAGTAGCCATGCTCAGGAAACATCAGTCACTCCCCCCTCCTTCAACACATGCCAGGCCTCGTGCAGGACTGGTGCACAGAGGACAAACTCGGTCCCTGCCACGAAGACAGCCACCATCCACCACCATCTCCCATACACCACTCAACGAAAATAACCAATTTATTTCTTTAAATTTGACAGGCCAAATCCTTTCATTAAACTAAAGATCAGGAAATTGCATTGAACAGGTCTATTCTACACTAACAGTGTCCAATTTATTCTATCAAGCCACTTTGTCCAAAACTAGAGCTACGCTTTCAGCAGCCTTTCCAGAAACCTTAGTTTAAGAGAGCTTTGAGGCTGAGTGCAGTGGCTCACTCCTATAATCCTAGTAATCTGGAAGATTGGGGCAGGTGGACTGCTTGAGCTCAGGAATTCAAGACTAGCCTGAGCAAAAGACAGACCCACCCCTCTCTACTTTAAAAAAAAGAAAGAAAAAGAATAGAAAAACTGAGGCAAGAGGATCACTTGAGTCCAAGAGTTGGAGGGCTATGAGCTATGATACTACAGCACTCTACCCAGAGCTGTCTCCCTGGGTTGAGTGCCGTGGCATCTCAGCTCACAGCAACCTCCAATTCCTGGGCTCAAGCGAGTCTCCTGCCTCTGCCTCCCAAGTAGCTGGGACCACAGGCGCCCGCCACAACGCCCGGCTATTTTTTGGTTGCAGCAGTCATTGTTGTCTGGCGGGCTCAGGCTGGATTCGAACCCGCCACCTTGGGTGTACATGGCTGGCGCCTTAGCCATTTGAGCCACAGGCGCCGAGCCTCAAAAAAAAAAGTTTCAAAGAAATACTCTCATTGTAAGGGGTCACTGGCCCCATATACCTGAGGTGGTGGGTTCAAACCCAGCCCAAGCCAAAAACTGCAAAAAAGAAAAAGAAATATTCTCATTGTAAATAAAAACAGTACAACCTCCATAGCTGACCACCTCCTTAAGTTAACCTAATTTGCACAGACCGCACATGCCCCACATGTACGTGTCTATACAGGAGGTCTAGTTCCTCATGGTGACCACCTCTGTATGCTGACCAGTTTGTTAGTCCCTTGAGCGGTCAACTTAAGAGGGGTTCTACTGTACATGACATCATAACCTTCCTAAGGCTGTGTTCCTGAGTTAAACAATGTCAAGGTTAAATGCCACACTATGTGTTACTCAATTTCTCAAATGAGATGCACAGTTCTTTTTTTCTTTTGAAGACAAAGAGTCGCAAGCTATCATCCCGCGTAGAATGCTGTAATATCATAGCTCACAGCAACCTCAAACTCAAGCTCAAGAGATATTCTTGCCTTAGTTTTTCTATTTTTAGTACAGATGGAGATCTTGCTTTTTTACTCAGGCTGGTCTCAAACTCATGAGCTCAAGCAATCCACCTGCCTCAGCCTCCCAGAATGCTAGGATTGCAGGTGTGAGTCACCGTGACCAGCCAGGACGTAGAGTTTTATCACATTTTTACTTAACAACGTTAGGTATCAATCCATAGTACCAAAAAGAATATTTTTACCTCATGACTCAGCATATGTATGCAATTGGCCTGCACAGTCCTCCTTAAACATTGATGGAATAACTATATAAAAGGAGTAGAAAGAAATGAATACACATTGGGTGGCACCTGTGGCTCAGGGAGTAGGGTGCCGGCCCCATATACTTAGGGTGGCAGGTTCAAACCCAGCGCCGGCCAAACTGCAACAACAACAAAAAAAAAGCCAGGCTGGGGCAGAGCCTGTGGTTCAAAGGAGTAGGGTGACAAAGTGAGATGCTATCTCTAAAAAAAAGAAAGAAAGAAAGAAAGAAATGAACAAACAAAAACTGTATTTGGGAGGCGAAGGCAGGAGGATCATCTGAGGCCAGAAGTTTGAGACCAGACTGAGCAACATGGCAAGACCCAACCTCTATTTAAAAAATGGAAAAATTAGACCCATGGGTTTGCAGGCGTGAGCCACCACCACATCACTCTGGAAGGCCAAAGTGGGTGATTTGCCTGAGGAGTTCAAGATCAGTTGAGACCCCATCTCTAAAAATCATCAGGGGTGGCTCGGTGCCTGTGGCTCAAGCAGCTAAGGCACCAGCCACATACACCAGAGCTGGCGGGTTTGAATCCAGCCCAGGCCCAAGCAAACAATGATGACTGCAACCAAAAAATAGCCAGGTGTTGTGGCAGGCACCTGCAGTCCCAGCTACTTGGGAGGCGGAGGCAGGAGAATCGTTTGAGCCCAGGAGTTGGGAGTTGCTGTGAGCTGTGATGCCACAGCACTCTACCCAGGGGGACAGCTTGAGGCTCTATCTCAAAAAAAAAAAAAAAAAAAAAACTCCAGGGGTGATGGCAGGCACCTGTAGTCCCAGCTAGTCCAGAGGCTAAGGCAAGAGAATCACCTCAGCCCAGGAGTTGGAGGTTGCTGTGAGCTGTGTAACACCATGGCACTCAACTGAAGGGGACAACGATTCTGTCTTTTATATATGTATGTGTGTGTGTGTGTGTGTGTGTGTGTATATATATAGAGAGAGAGAGAGAGTGTCTCATTTTGTCACCCTCAGCAGAATGCTATGGCATCACAGCTCACAGCAACCTTGAGCTCTTAGGCTTAGGCAATTCTCTTGCCTCAGCCTCCCAAGTAGCTGGGACTACAGGCGCCCACCACAACGCCCAGCTATTATTTTTTGTTGCAGGCCAGGGCTAGGTTTGAACCCCCATCCTTAGTATATGGGGCCAGCACCCTACTCACTGAGCCACAGGTGCCACCCAAGACTCTGTCTCTTTAAAAAAAGAAAAAAAAGTACACCTGAGATGAAACTGTGTGATGAGGGGAATAACTAGGGGTTTTCAAACTGAGTCTTGCCTTAAAGGCAACAACCCTGGAAGGAAGTAGGACAGAGAAAGAGATTCCCTCAGGAGCTCCCAGTTAGACAAAGCATCTAGAAAGTATTAATGCAGCACCAGAGAGATAAAGGCAAGGCCAGGTGAGTTCCTTCCCTCTGGAAACTCAGCCTCAAGTGACAATAGGGGCTGGACTATCCTTTGCTGTGGGAGTCTGTCCTGTGTGTACTGTGGGCTTTCCAGCAGACCCATGATCCTCAGTTTTCTTTTGTTTTTGGAGACAGGAGCCTCAAGCTGTCCCCCTGGGTAGAGTGCTGTTGCATCACAGCTCACAGCAACCGCCAACTCCTGGGCTCAAGCGAGTCTCCTGCCTCAGTCTCCCAAGTAGCTGAGACCACAGGCGCCCGCCACAACGCCCAGCTGTTTTTTGGCTGCAGCCGTCATTGTTGTTTGGCGGGCCCAGGCTGGATTCGAACCCGCCACCTTGAGTGTACATGGCTGGCACCTGAGCCACTTAAGCCTCAGGCACCAAGCCCTCAGTTTTCTTTTTATTCATAATTTTTTCTTTTTGAAACAGTGCCTCACCTAGATAAAATCAGGTGTACCCACCCAACTAGACCTGCCCTGCCCAGGAGAGATCAGGTTCATGACCCGCCCAAGAATGCTGCCAACTACTGCCCTCCCGGACCCTTTAAATCCCCATCCACCATAACCCAAGTGTGGAATTTCGGGCAGCACCTGTGGCTCAAAGGGGTAAGGGGCCAGCCCCATATGCTGGAGGTGGCAGGTTCAAACCTAGCCCCAGCCAAAAAAAAAAAAAAAAAAAAAACAAAAACAACCAAGTGTGGAATTTCTTGATTTCACCTCACCTGCATCCAGGTGGAAATAAAGACAACATTATTGGGTTCAGCACCAACTGTAGCTCAAGCAGCTCAGGTACCAGCTACATATACCAGACCTGGTGGGTTTGAATCCACCCTGGGCCTGCCAAACAACGACAACTACAGTCAAATAACAGCTGGGTGTTATGGCAGGCACCTGATTCTTTCAAGAGAATCTCTTGAGCCCAGGAGTTGAAGGTTGCTGTGAGCTGTGATACAACAGCACTCAACCCAGGGCAAGAGCTTGAGGTTCTATCTCAAAAAGGAAAAAAAAAAACCAAAACATTATTTCTACAAAACAGGGATTCTATCTCCCTTTCTTTTCTCGCCTTGGAATAATCTTTCACCCTTGGGTCCAGAACCTTTCAACTCTGTTGCCCAAGCTCACAGCTCACAGCAACCTCAAACTTCTGGGCTCAAGCAATCCTCCAGCCTCGGCCTCCTGAAGACTACAGGCACCACCACAATGCCCAGCTAATTTTTCTATTCTCCCATCTCCACCTCCCAGTGTGCTATGGTGTTTTTTCCCAAGAGACATAATCTCTATCTGTTATGAAGGCTAGATCGCACAGGTTATATTATTACAACTCACTATAATCTCCAAACCCTGGCCTCACGTGCTCAGGCCACAGTTCTGACCATTTAAAAAGTTTTCAGACATTACCAGAAATCCCCAGGGTGGTGGGAGGGGCTGAAGGATAGGGGATGCCCCAGGTTGAGAATCACTGCTGTAGGTTCTCTTTTCTGGAGCTACAGTGAGCAGGGGAAACCACAGATCAAAACCCAAGACCCCTCAGGGGAGCTTTGTGCTTTCTGAAGTGCACCCAACCTGGTGTTCCACACTCCCTCCTACCTTTCACTACAGATCACGGAGACCACTCCTCCCAATGCACACAAAGCTGTCCCTTCTCTCTCAAGTCCAGGAGCTGGGGTCAACACACTATAATTTACCAACAGTAACATCTCCTGTACTGGAAATGTCAACATCGTCTAAGTCTCTGACCATACTG